TTTTGTTATGAAAAAAAAAAAAAAAGAGAAAACGATGGGTTATGTGTCGTTAAATTAACTAATTATGTTGTATTACACTAAAATGTTTAATTATCATAATTGAACTATTAAAAATTTATTTAGACTAAAGCAAATAACTATAAATTAATTCAATCTAAAAATCAACAAGTAATGAAGGTTGTCTAAATTGTGAGTAAATCAAGAATGGCAAAATAGACTTTAGACTAAATTTTTCTTGGGCTTATTCTACAAAATATTATCTAGTCATCCAAACCTTATTTAATCCTACTATAATCCTACTAAGAATCCTTAAATATTCTTAACTTCTCTTGAACAAGTTAAATGGCTGATTAATTGTTATTTATTTCATATCAGTCTCAAGATGAACAATTAACGATCCCCTGGTACCTAAGATTCTAATTCCTTCGCACGATTTTATTAACCTCTCGGTCTATTTAGTCTCTTGCGCTATCAATTTCTCAATTCTAACAATCAATTATCTCATTTTAGCCTCAAGTCAATTGCACATAAGCATAAATTCAGGCACTATATTCATACAATAAATATAAGCACAAGAAATTCACAAATCGATAAGTAATCCGGAATGTAAACAACTATTTCATAAACTAATCTGAGTATTTACAATAGCCTAGAATCACAGACAAGTTTAGCTACTAAACATGTTCTCAAATGTCAAAACAAACAAATGCATGAGTTTAAAGAAGATTAAGAGAAAAGAAAGAGGAACAAGTGTGGTCGTGTAGCTTCAGATCTTCAATCTTGACTCCTTCAAATCTCTTGTGCAGCTTGTGCTTTTTCTCAACTTCCAAAAGTGTCAAAAATCCCAAAAACATAGTTCTTTAGGTCCCTTTATAATGTAGGCCAAATCCTTGTTGAAAAAGGTAAGAAATCATATGTAATCAGCATTTCTCATCGGTCAAGTTTCCGCCAATCCGGTGTACGAGTTATTTGTACCGAGGGTTCGAATCTCTCTCTTTCCGTTTCCGTACTGGGTATTAGTTGGCTTAGGAGGAGAGAGAATAGAACGATGTTGGTGCAGGTCGAAGGGAGGAGAGTGGGTTAGTAACAAAAAGTTCCATCGCTGATCTCTTCGCTTGCTAGTGACTGACCATCTTACGGGTTTGGTTTTGATTTTATCAAACTTTCCTATCGTCACACACAACTCGCGTGACTTCGTGCCACATGGCACATGAGTCGTACTTTATTTTCCCATAATATGTCAGTTGTCCTGACCCACACGACTCATGTGACTAAGTATTATAATTCACTCGAGTAGTGTGAAATTACAGAGGCTACAACTCTCGATCTCTCATTCACATGAGTCGTGTGGCTACTTGACCACCTTACATGAGTCGCGTGGCTTCCTGTAGACCTGAATCTCGTAGTTTTTTCTTTCGACTCTAATTATAGTGTCTTTTCGACATATTTTCTTCATGAACTAATGATAAAGAATATTTCCATTGCAGATTAATGAAACGAGCAAAATGGTGCGTAATCCACAATAAATACGACTAAACATATTAATCTATTACTCAAAATGCATGTAAATATGGTGCATGTCATTACTATGTCAAACTTTATTTCAATAGTTATATCAATGTGATAATAGAGGAACAAAACAAAATCACATTCATCAATTTTGGACAATGGAGTAGTCGCGAATCGCCTATTAAAATTTCAAACGCATCAGCGCACATTAAAAAATTTAAAAATTTCAACGGCATATTTATGGAGATTAAGGGCTATAACTGAACACAAAAGGTTCTTCAGAAATATATTTATAAGCATTTTTTTATTAAATTCTAATAGTCGATCTCTAGTAATATTTCGGTGAACTATATTTTGTAAAATCTGGTGGCGGGCGGTAGCAGCTGTGGGACAATGGCGGAAAACGGGTTGTAAGCAAGCAGCGGCGGGAGGTAGGCTTCGTAGAGTAACAACCGACTAGATGGAGAAATTATGTATTTAATTATTTTAATTAATATCACTATAGTATTTTATCTATATATATAATTGCTAGCGAAATAATTAATAAAAATATTTTGTTTTCCTCCCATAGACTTTACTTTTGTATTAATTAAGTACTTATATTTATATTTTTTATATTATATAACAACTATTACTAACAAATCATAAAGTCACATTAACTGATATTTTAATCTAAAACTCTTTTTCAAAACTATATTTTTTTTATTTTAACTCATTAAGGCAAGTTTTTTCATTAACAGTAGTTAATTATTTTTCATGATACAACCAAACGTTTTAAAATTTCGTACACAATTGCAATATAATTTCAATATTATTTTATCTAATCAATTGTTTATAATCAACAAAGATTGCAAAAATCATATTATTGCAATTGATATAAATACTAATATGTAAGTTAATAATTTATATTTGTATAGTTTATTTTTAACATTAATAAAATTTATAACATATGATATGTTCATTATTCGATTATGATTTTAAATATTACATACACACGCATGTAGCATATAAAATATTATTTGCATCTGTGCATATGCACATGATCGAATAGTAGTTACATAATAACATAAGTCCACTAATTAATGTTTTTTCTTAAATAAATTTTAGTTAATTAAAATGTCGTGTATCAAGACTTTAAAGTGTGATGTTGGGTGTGCTGGATACAAATATATCAGTTCAAAATGGGTTTTTTTTTATTTGTTAGTCAGAATTAATTTAAGCAAAAATAGTATGGTTATTTATTAATGAAATTTTGATATTATATTAAAATAAAATAATTAAAGTTGATTTGATGTAAAAGTAGGATATATATGATGCGAAGTGATGGTTAATTAAAATTACGTAAGTGGATAAATAATTATTAAATATTATGTGATGTGTAAAATTGATTAAATTATTTATATTGATAATATTAAAGATAGCAAAGTTGAGTTAAATTAAATTATATTTTAAAAATTAAATATAAATTGGATTTATTTATAACACATGACCCTTAAAAAATATTTTTAAAATATGTTAAAAGTAAGGTTGTGTAACTATAGAAGTATCGTATCTATTTTTAACAACTGGGGATGCTTACGATGTAAATTAACAGCACCCTCAGCCGTGTGCTTTTATTACCATTTGATTAAAAAAAAAGGTAATATATGAGTGTATTAGGTGGAGTAAATTCAAATTAACATTTTATATTAAGGGATAATGCTACCATCTCGTTACGGGATGGTTCCGTTGTATTTTTAAGATTGGATTAACTACCCATCACTAGATTACATGTATATCTATGGCTAGAAAATACAACGGAATCATCCCGTAAGGGGATGGTAGCATTCTCCTATATTAGGAACTAAAAACCTCGAGAAAGGGCATTTTTGTCCTTTCATTTGTCTTGCTAGTGCTATATGTTTCCATTGTTTCTTAGGGCATTGTAGTTCTATTGATCAACAATCAACCCTCGTTTTTCAGCTTCTCAGAGAGCAGCATCCACAGATCAGTAGCAAACAAAAAGGAACCCAAGAAAGCCCACCAATACTTACCCGTCGCAAATGGCTCCCCGGATTTCTCTCAAGGCAGGGAAAGGCAAGGCCGTGAAAAAATCGTCGGCGGCAGACGAGGAGGAGGGGGCGGCGGCGGTGGCGGCGAAGTTCGTGAAGGAATGGAGCACATGGGCCATGAAGAAAGCTAAAGTCGTCACTCATTACGGCTTTATTCCTATGATTATCATCATCGGCATGAACTCGGATCCGAAGCCATCACTGTCTCAGCTTCTCGGTCCCGTCTAAAGATCAGATTTTTATGGGTTTGTTCTTTTTATCTTGAGGCTGTAATTTGATTTTTCCACCTACCCCTCTATGTTTATCTGTCGAATTTGCTTTTAGGGATTTTGATTTATTGTTGTTTTGGTTTACTACAGTGGATTTGGTCGCGTGCTTTCTAGTAAATGCTTGTTTTACTTAGGGCCCTATTTTTACTTTATGATGTTTGGATGACCCTGTGTTTGATTTTGATAGATATGTGTACGATGATGTGTGCACTGTGGTTACATTTTCGTTTAATGTTGTCTTGTAACTTGTTTGATAATCTTTCTAATTTTGGTTTTAGCTTTAACTTTTATGCCCGCATGAACGCCATTCATCCTGCTGGTTTTTTTATCTCGAATGTTAAGCATAATTTTGATAGCTTGTTAGAAAAAAGCCTTGTTTTTTTTCTCATTCGTGATGGTTTTATTGAGTGTTGATGACCTGTACCCAGCCTTTAGTTTTGGTTTGCTGAACGATGTTTTCCGCTTACGAACCTGTTCTTGTGGCTGCTAGCTAGGTTGAAATCATTGCTATTATTTGAATAAATGGAACGTGCAACCACGCAGAAGATTTGAAAGGAGGGTGTATATTTTCTTTGCGTTTTATTCAAATGCCGAGTGCAAATTGTTGGTGTTTGGTGCTTAGAGGTTGGAGCCAATAAGGCTTTTTGTTGCTTGTAAATTAGCAAATACTGGAGCTTGTCTGTTTGTTTGTGCCTAGAGAGTATGCATCTGCATAAGTTTCTCATGATCTTTCTAGTTTTGGGGCCATTCGTTTGCAATCAAATATAAAATCATGTTATTGGGTGTACCCTTCTTGCTTTTCCCGGATATAATGTGTGAAATATTGTGTAAAGATATGTGAATATGGAAAACATATATTCGACTATTGCGTATCAGATGAGTTAGCAACTATAATTGTTCGGACAATTCCCAATTGCATTTGCTTTTTTCATTGAAAATGCTACCTTATAACCAGCACACGTCACGGATGCAATTTTCCCGTTGTCACTAACTCACAGATGCCGATGGAGAACATGTACAGTTGATATTTAGAGTCTTGCGTGTGTAAAGTCTCTTTTCAAGTCTCTGAAGATTAAAATCACCAGCTTTAGACCAACTTTACTCCCTTCTGTAGTACAGTTAGACATAAGTTTTCGTTAATAAATTCTCTTTTCAAGTCTCGGAAGATTAAAGTCTCTTTTGAATGCTGATGAATTTCAGAATTTTTGGTATGCTGAAACACTTTGATCTTGTCTGTGATGTTTATTCTACTCTTAACGTGTTTGCCGGTCCTGTATTTCTGTTTCTGGTTTTCTTGCCACGGATCTGCCTGAGTCGTTCTTTCCTTCTGTTGCATTTTTTCTCTGCTTCATTTTCTTTTTCTTCCTTTCTTCTTTCGGAAATAAGGGCGCCTTCGCATGCAATATAGGAGTACATCACAGTTTTGTGGCCAACTTCTGCTCAATTGTTTTGTGGTTTTTAGGGGTGAGCATGGATCGGCACGGTTCGGAGATTAACGAATCTCTAGAACCGTACTGAAATTCGACCTTCGGAACCGTACCAAAAAATCGGTTCGGTTCGGAGATTTTGATTTCTCGGTTTGTTCGGTTTGGTATTCGTGACGATCGGAACGGTTTGGTTAGGTTCGGTTCGGTTCGGATATTCGAAGATTCTAATTATTATTTTTTTTAATGACAACCAAATTATATTTTAATTTTTATGTATTTTTATTTTTAAATACAACATTCATCAATACTTCATTATAGTAAATATTTTATTTTTAAATCAAATTTAGAAGTTACTCTAAATTGTAGTTAAGATTAAATTTGTGCAACGAATTTAAAATTCAAACAACATATGATATAGTTTTTTTTTATAATATTTTTTTAACTTTCCATACATGTTAGTTATAAGATAGAATAATTAGTAAAGTTTAAACATTTTTTTTTTTTAAACATTTCTTTAACTTTGACTCTATTTTAATATTTTTTTTTAAATAAAAAAAATTCAATTGTAAATCAAGTATTATTAATAAACTGAAATTTAAGTGAAGCTTAATTGTTACCATATTTTATTTGCATTTTAAAAAAATCTTAAATTATATAGGATCAAAGTTGACATAAAATATACTAATAAGACCATCTATATTTATAATTCGGTTCTTAATTTCGGTTCTTCGGTTCGGTACGGTATGGGACGGTTCAGTTCGGTTCGGTTCGGTTCGGTTCTCGGCACGAATATTTTTTAAATCTCCATAGCCGTATCAATTATTTTCTCAATTCGGTTTGATTCGGATAAAGTCAACCGGTGAAGGATTATTTTTCGGTTCATAGTGATTTCAGTTCGATTTTCGAAACGGTTTGGAATTCTCTTACTACCATGCTCAGCCCTAGTGGTTTTGTTTGTTTCGTTTTTATATCTGTTACTTCAATTCACATACTACAACAACAACAACAACAACAACACCAACAACAACAACAAAGCTTTTTAGTCCCAAACAAGTTAGGGTAGGCTAGAGATGAAACTCAATAGAAACAGTGGTAAAAAAAAAAAGAGAGATTGGAGCAAAAGAGAAAGGAGAAAGGAGCAAAAGTCACGGTTCCGGCACGTTGATCGCTAGCCTCCAAGGGCTCCTATCCACCGCTAAATTCTTGGAGATATTCCAATTTTTAAGGTATCTCTGAACCGACTCTTCCCAAGTGAGTTTAGGCCGACCTCTACCTCTCTTAACAACATCGGCCCGCTGTAGAAC